GCCTAGCTAAAGCGGTTCAGTTTAATGCCGAAGAAGTAAAGGAATGCAAGGGGAAAATAAACGAGCTGGAAAGGTGCAGCGAACGTCTGTCCAAAGAAAACGATGAGCTTAAAGAAAGAATCCGGGAACAAGAGAGATACAAGATGAGATGGTGTTTGAAACTGAGAGGTTTATCGGAAAGAAAAGACGAGAACGTTAGAGCAGACGTCATTCAACTCTTCAGTGAGATCGCTCTCCCGACATGGAACGGCGGCAGCTCGAAGAAGCAATCGACATTGTTCACAGAGTCGGCCGTAAAGAAGATAACAGAAGCAGGCACATAGTTGTTTTATTTGTCCGGAGACTTGTCAAGGAGGAGTTGTGGCAACGATGCAAGGATTCCCTGGTATGCAGAGAGAAAGGCGTCCGCCTCGCCGAGATGCTTCCGCTAGAGGACAGGGAGGCAAGGAAGAAACTGTGGCCGCAGATTGAACAGGCTCGTCGGGATGGAAAGCGTGCTTATTACCGCGGGCCGCACGGATACATAGAGGGTCGTCAAATTGGTTAAGCAAAGAAAGGTTTGATCTACTTACACTAGGTGTAAAAGGAGTGTGTTAAAAGGACAAGGGACTTTTTTGTATTTACGAACCACCGTAAATAAGCTTAAAGCAAGTTCTTACTGTTTTGTTTAAATAAGTTTGGAAGCAAGTTTTCACTGTTTTGTTTTTGTTTGCTGTTTTTAGTTATTTTTAGTATCTCGAGCAATGTTCAATTGTTCAGTTTCCTTTGCTTCACTAAACGTGAGGGGTCTAAAAGATTTGGTCAAACGAAAGGCACTATTTGTATTTTGTAAAGGGCGAAAACGTGAAGCACGTGTAAAATCAGTCCAATGGAAGCCCGATACGTCATAGGTGACGTCATAGACCAGGAAACTATAAAGCACCCTTGAAAACAGACCGCGCCAGCTTCTGAAAAGTCTGAAGCAAGTCGATCAGGGTATGCAGGAAGTATGGCAGGCAAACGCAGCGTCTCGTTCCCAATCAGGGAACCAGGGTTACATACGTAACCTGAGACGTTCCCTTTCAAGGGAACTTCGAGCTGCGTTTGAGACGCGGCGGGAACCCCATACCCACTACGCCATAGTGACAAATGCCCGTTCTGTGTGAAGTCCTAGGCGGACACTAAGAAGCAAGCAACCTCGCCCCTGGAGTGGAGAGGTCAAAGTCATAAAACCTGACAAAAGTATGCGGAGAGGACCATCCTGCCGCATTACAAATATCAGGAAGGGAAACACCCGAAATTAAGGCCGAAGAGGCCGCCATACTCCTAGTAGAATGGGCCCGTACAGCCATAGGTGAAGGCTGACCGGCCGCTTCATAAGCCAATGAAATAGCCTCGACTATCCATTTGCTCATAACCTGTTTAGATGCAGGGCACCCTCTTCTGAGTGACCCAAAACATACAAATAATTGCTCTGACTTACGCCACAGGGCAGCTCTGTGAACGAAGGCATCCAATGCCCGAACTGGACATAACAGGTTCAATAGTTCCTGATCTGGGGTATTAAAAGGTGGAGGATAAAAGGCCTGCAGCACTATTGGGCCCCCAACATTAACTGGGACCTTAGGAATATAACCCGGTCTAGGGTATAAAAATGCTTTCACCATACCAGGTGCAAATTCCAGACATGAAGGAGCAACCGACAGGGCATGCAAATCTTGATAGATGAAATAGCAAGGAAAAATAAAGCTTTCAAAGTGAGGAATTTTTCTGAAACCTCTTCAATAGGCTCAAAGGGAGCCAGAGCCAGACCCTCAAGTACAATGGCCAAATCCCAAGCCGGTGCTCTAGAGTGCAGTCCAGGTCTCAACCTCAATGTACCACGGAGAAAACGAGTAATCAGAGGATCTCTCCCAATAGAAGTACCCCCCAGAGGGGTATGATAGGCCGATATAGCCGCCACATAAACTTTTAAAGTGGAAGGAGATAATCCAGCAGAGAAACGATCTTGCAGAAAATCGAGAACTGAACCAACAGGGCAGTTAACAGGATCTAACTGACGCTCACCACACCAGGTGGAGAATAATTTCCATTTCAGTGCATACAGTCTTCTCGTGGAAGGAGCTCTGGATTGGAGAATGGTCTCAACGACCTCAGTCGAGAGACCGGATTTTATGGCCGGGCCCCCTCAGAGGCCGAGCCCACAGTATCCAAACTCCAAATGAGGGTGAACTCCCAGGAGCAAAGATATCGGGAAATGCGTACCGGTGTAGCGTCAACCACACCTAATACATCACATCCAGTCCAAGCGGAGCTGGATGTGTGAGGGAGAACCAAATAGAGCAAAGCGTTGTACAAACGATGTGAAAGGTCGACTTGACTTTAGTTGACCAAAGTTCTCCCTAAGAAGCTCCACCACCTCGGGGTGAAGACTCCAATCCCTGGGCCTCAGCCCCTGCCTCAACAGGATATCTGCTCTGATATACGAGACCATCAGTGTGTTGTCCGCCATTCGCCGAGCGACCACTCATGATCGCCCCCACTTGTGAGGGAAGCATCCGTCGATAGCAATATGCGTCGACAAGAAGCCCCCAACACTGGGCCTGGGCGAGGAACCAAGGTTCTTCCACATGACCGAGGCACGAAGGCATAGCCGCGTGACCTTGATCATGCGAAAACATATTTCCCCTCGGAGAAAACCCCTTGGTCCCGAGCCACCACTGCAGGGGTCTCATGTGCAGAAGGCCAAAAGTAATTACGTTGGACACAGCTGTCATGAGACCCACCAGTCTGAAACTGTTTCACAGTGAGTGACTGGCCTAGATATACCCCAATACGGCTGTGAGAATCGCTACACCTAGAAAAGTGGTCCTCAGAGCACACTCTTCTTGGCGTTGAGAGGCAACCTCAACATCCTTAATGAGACAGAACGACATCTCGATGCCGAACTGCCATAAACTCAGATTGAGCTAGGATCAACCAATCATTGATGTAGTATAATACGCGAATGCCCTGGAGTCTCAGAAGAGCCAGAGCTGCATCCACACATACTGTAAAGGTGTGGGGTAATAAACCTAGGCTGAATGGAAGAACCCGATAATGGTATGCTTCGCCCCCGAAAGCAAACCTCGGGAACCTCCCTCATCCTCTTTCGGAAACAATGAAGTAATGGCTGTCTGCTGGGAGGAGGAACCCCTTCTACAGCTCCTTTTGCAGAAGTGACAGTACTTCCTGCTCCATAACCAAAGCCTGCTCGGGGTCCACCAATGAGAGGAGGACCCCTAGAAATCTGGGCGAACGAGAACCGAACTGAATTCTGAAACCCTTTTCTATAGTGTGCAGGACCCACTGAGAAATATGTGGCAGTAGTTTCCACGCTGCCAGAAATTTACTAGGGAAACCAGTCTCTCAAGACTGGCCTCTGGATTTGTTTGAACAGTCACTACGGCGCCCTGAAGCGGCGAACCGGCAGGGAACAACCGAACTGACCATTCTACGACCCTCCTCGGAGGATCGTATGGGGATGCTGACACCTCGGTGCCCTGAACGGCGAACCGGCAGGGAACAACCGAACTGGCAGCGCTGCAACCCTCCTCAGAGAGTTGCACCCCAGAGGGCGCAGAGGAAAAACGATTTCTCAAAACCGTCCCTTGGTTGAACAGTCACTACGGTGCCCTGAAGCGGCGAACCGGCAGGGAACAACCGAACTGACCGCTCTACGATCCTCCTCGGAGGATCGTATGGGGACGCTGACACCTCGGTGCCCTGAACGGCGAACCGGCAGGGAACAACCGAACTGGCAGCGCTGCGACCCTCCTCAGAGAGTCGCACCCCAGAGGTCGCCGAGGAGAAACGATTTCTCAAAACCGTCCCTGGCCCGGAGGAGCCCTCAGAAGCCTGATAGCCTCATTTTTTGCGACAGGACTTCTTGTCTAAGCTTTATTAGAGATGATGACAGTCTTCAGATCATGCATGTCTCTAACTGGCTAGACTGCGACCGCCACCCAGGTACCGATTCAATTGCGGAGGAGCCCGAATGGCGACGCTCTGTTTTGCACTTTGTGCTGAGAGGAGCTTGTGCTGAGAGGAGCTTAAAGGTGCAATACCTAAGATTTTTGCATTAAAATATCCCAAAATCACAAGGCCAGTGTTATATATTTAGTTAAGGTGATAACTTACAATATTCCAAATGTTTTAAACAATGTCTAAATCGCGAGAAAATTGAGATTTTAACCAAGGAAACGGGGCGTGTGAGCAGGGGTGAGCTGGGAGTCGCCAGTCAATCGCGTCATATCCGCGTTACCCTCGGTTTCCAATCGTACTGCGTGGAGTCCTGGACAAATGCGGAAGTTGTAGTTGTGCGTTAGCGTCTATCAAGCAACAAACGTCAGCTTGTTTCGCGCATTTGTTATAGAATGGAACACAATTATTCTTTAGCGATTGCAGCTGGTTCTGTCGACAAGTGTCATAAACGCAAACGTCAACAAACGGGTCAACCAAATGACCCAAGAAGAATTTGGGACAAGAAGAGGAATAAAACCAGGATCAACATCGGTGTGGCATTTCCTAAATGGAGAGAACTTCGTGAAAAACTCGAACTAGAAAGAGACGCCGATCTTGCATGTGTTTTAATTGACAGGTGAGTAACACCGTGTTCTGTATTCAATTTTCATGTCAGTAAAGGATTCAAAACAATTAGTATTATTGTTAGAATGTCTTGTTGTCTACTGTTGGCTGTAATTTTGTCAAACTGTAGCTGTGGTTAAATACTTTCACGACATGAAAAGATGTGTCAAATGTACATTAAATTTATTTTTTTATTTTTATAAAGTTACCAAAAAGGAGGACCAGCCACGTCAACTCCTTGCAAGAGACCTGGAATGCCTCTTCAAACCCTCTCCACCATAGCTTCGTCCAGTGACTCACCATCAGATAGGTAGGCTTTGGCAAATTTGTTTTATCTAATTCATCATAGTTTATTAATAGAATTACATTGAATAAATTGATCAAATATGCTTTACAGAGACCAGGGTTTTCTGGAGCCTGGAGTTGAACGCCTTTCTTTGGCAGGAAGCGATGAACAGCTATTACATGAAAGGTGACTTTTACATGTGTTACTAATAGTAACTTACTATACCAAGATATTTTGAAAAAAATTATGTTATCATATAGTTGGGCTCCACAAGCCACAAATTGCAGTTTGACACAACCAATAAAGTGTTATGCATATCGCCATTACAAAGCAATATATATATATATATATATATATATATATTTTTTTTTTTTTTTTTTTTCTGGGTGTGGTGCAGTTTTTCAAAGATGAGCTTCCATGATGAGTCCACCATTACTGTGAGCGAAGATGCCAATGATCTTCATAACACAGTGTAAGTGTTGACATGCATTGTTACAAAATGCAGTTTGCTCTTTACACATGTTTGTGTAATTCTCTGTATATTGTATTTAGTTATTGTTTTTAGTATTACTTCAACCAGTACTAAACTGATATTATGTATTTTGCAGAATTGAATTTGAACACCAAGATGATACATCCTGGGAAATAGACAGTGAGGAAAGCAATTCTGATGAGGACTATGTTCCCTCTATCTGTCTTAGGTTTGTCTGCAAGAAGCATGTATTTTGCTGTAAAAATATATATAACAAAATAATATCAGTTGATGGACCTACTAAAACTGTTAAATTATCAAGGGTTATGGCATCCAGGCCACCTCAAGGACATTAAACGTTGTTTTTCTTTTTGTTAACAAAATGAAAGTATAGAAAAGATAATATTTTTTTTGCACATGTTATTAATACAATGTTGTAAATATTTATATATATATTTACAGAACGGGTGAAGATACTAATGAGTTCAGAAAAATCAAGGAGCTTAAAGTGATTGATCTCGAAGAGACCGTTCATCTTACACAAGAAGATGAAGGGATAACCCTACATGAAGATCATGTCCTTAAATCTAATGCTAGCAACAAAGTCATGTGTGAGGAAGACATAATTGGAAAACGGGCATCTATTGTGTATGAAGCACAGTTGAAAGAGTTGGTCAAGCTTCTACAGCTACCAGAGGTTAATTGTAAAGCCTGCCAGGCTTCACCACCTTTTGAACTCCACCTGACTTCAAGGGGAACAGCAAGTATCATCCAATGGGTAATAAAAACATAATTAACAGTTTTTCGGTATATTTAATAGTTGCATGTCACGCAAAACATGTTGTTGTCGTTATAAATAAGATGTATATCATAATCTCAAAATCTCTATTTAGCTTAGTGAACCTACACACACAAGTGTAATATTTTGAATTGGCAGGTGTTCAAGATATATTTTCAATGTTGTAATATTATATTATGTATAACTGAATACACAGTTTCCAATTCCAAAGAAGACTTTAAAAGTATGTTTTAATTGTAATCCATATACATTTTATTCAATACAAGATAAGTCGCTGTTTATATGCATTGCAATCTCTCTTGTGTATTTTATCTTATAGATATGTTCAAATGGCCACAACGTAAGGACTTGGAATTCACAGCCTATATTCAAATTTGGAATGCAGGCAGGGGACTTCATGATGGCCACCAACGTTCTGCTGTCGGGAAATAACTACTACAAAGTGGCACACCTGTTTAATTACATGAACATGGGCTTTGTAGGAAAGAACACTTTTTTTTAAAATCCAGGATACTTACTGCTTAGGAGCAATAAAGGACATGTGGGAGGACAACAGATGTGCTGCAATTCAACGTATGAAGAGTAAGGATGGTGTAGTTGTATTAGGTAAGTACTATGCAATACTTACATGTCAATCTAAGTGCTGAAAGGTGTTATGCATAACATTTTTTTTTTTATATTATTAAATTTCTATAATTTGTTGACCTCTTGTGTATTTCACAAGTTACGTTACAATTTTAATGTGTTTTTAAGGAATATAAAAAAAAAATCGTATTGACTTTTTCTGCACTACACAGCTGATGGACGAATGGACAGCCCCGGATACTGTGCCCAGTATTGCTCGTACACAGCAATGGAGAATGATTCTAAGGAAATCATCTCAGTGGTCACTATCGATAAAAGGCAGACCAATCGTAATTCTGTAATAATGGAGAAAGAGGCTTTTGTAACCACAATGGACAAGCTTCTTAGTGAAGTGCGGATCTCAGAAATATGTACAGATGCACACACACAAATCGCATCTATTATGAGTAAGTTGGGAGTACTTGCCATGTTATATAAAAGGAAGTTATATAATTGTTTTTCAAAAAAGATGTAATAAAAATGTTTTTTTGTTTTTCATTACAAGATCCAATAACTGGGCGATATAAGGACACTGGAGTTCTGCACTCATGGGACATATGGCATGGAGCAAAGAATCTAGCCAAGATGATTACTGCAGTATGTTTATATCTTTTTTATTTTGTATAAAATACTTTAACCTATATATTTTGCAGACTTGTTATAATAATGTTTATATTACAAAATGTATTCAACCACATCTGTAATATGCATACTTAGGAGGCACAGCAATCTGGACAAAGGATCCTGCTGCACTGGGTCAAGGACATTGTAAATCACTTCTGGTTCTGTTGTAAAAAGGCAGACACGGTACAGCAGTTCATTGTAAGTAATATATCTCCCAGTAGTCATCTCTACATGTGATTAAATACGACGACATTTCCATGTAGCAAACTTGCATGCAAAAAAGTACAATGCTTCTATGTGCAGTGAGATTCTGTTTTAGGATAAGATTATATTTGTGTACAGCATTCTCGTTATAAAACACATTACAGTACCGACAATATCTAGCCTTTACTTGTACTTTGAGTGTATGGTCTGATTAAAAGATTTGTATTTTAGAAACTAAGGAGCAGTGTGCTTCACCATGTTACAAATGAGCACGAATGGTACCTTGGTCACTGCCTGCACGGTAGCCTGCCTGAAATCCAAGACAAGCAATGGCTGGAGAGTGGTTCCAAAGCTCACAAGGCACTGGAAGCAATAGTTCTAAAAAAGAGGTGGCTCACAAATGTCCACCGATATCTAACTTTCAGGTAACTTATGAAAACACCTTCATGTCTGTTTCAAAATGGAATTAATCACCACCAGTAGTCATCACTATATGATCAATGTTTTGAATACTACTCAAAATTTGAACATATGATAATTTGTTTCTCCAGATCAACTTGTGAGCTGGAATCATTCCACAACCACTTGTTGATGTACGTCAGCAAGCGGTTCAGCTTCTCACCACTGGTCTACGAGGCAAGAACTCTACTTGCAGCCCTTGATTATATAACCACCATAAGGATCGTCCACCAATGCTCAACAAAAATGGCCAAAAGATGTAAGATTTAAACATTTTATTTTCCATCTCTCAGAACTTTCAGTGGAACTTGATATATCATCCTTCCAATGTGTCTTATTACCCATATATTTCTTGGTGTTTTATTTGTCTAAAACAAAATTATTTTTCATTACAGCTTTCGCAAACAGTTCCAGAAGAAAACTGGTAGATGGACTATATATGCTTTGAAGGTGCCAAAAGACTACAGTTACATTCCTGATTTGCAAGCGGAAATTGTGCGCACAAGACTACAGGCTGATGTGGGTATGCCAAGGCGTAGGGTTCTGAGGCCTGAGGACCCCAGGAGACTAGGCCTCCTTCCAAGTGTCCCACCTCCATCGGTTGACAGCATTCTGGAGGCACATGTCAGTAGAGGCATAGGTATGTACAGGAAAACATCTTATATAAGACACATGTCGTTGGAAATTTAATGCAAATCTCTATATATATTTAAAATATAACTAAGTTATTTATCCTAATTTAGAACAGTGTGTATGATAACTCTCTTATTTATTTACTAGTGATATTGATCTGTACAACGTTATGCTTCATTTATACACTCACCGGCCACTTTATTAGGTACACCTGTCCAACTGCTCGTTAACACTTAATTTCTAAGCAGCCAATCACATGGCGGCAACTACGTGCATTTAGGCATGTAGACATGGTCAAGACAATCTCCTGCAGTTCAAACCGAGCATCAGTATGGGGAAGAAAGGTGATTTCAGTGACTTTGAACGTGGCATGATTGTTGGTGCCAGAAGGGCTGGTCTGAGTATTTCAGAAACTGCTAATCTACTGGGATTTTCACGCACAACCATCTCTAGGGTTTACAGAGAATGGTCCGAAAAAGAAAAAACATCCAGTGAGCGGCAGTTCTGTGGGCGGAAATGCCTTGTTGATGCCAGAGGTCAGAGGAGAATGGCCAGACTGGTTCGAGCTGATAGAAGGGCAACAGTGACTGAAATAACCACTCGTTACAACCGAGGTATGCAGCAAAGCATTTGTGAAGCCACAACACGCACAACCTTGAGGCGGATGGGCTACAACAGCAGAAGACTCCACCGGGTACCACTCATCTCCACTACAAATAGGAAAAAGAGGCTACAATTTGCAAGAGCTCACCAAAATTGAACAGTTGAAGACTGGAAAAATGTTGCCTGGTCTGATGAGTCTCGATTTCTGTTGAGACATTCAGATGTTAGAGTCAGAATTTGGCGTAAACAGAATGAGAACATGGAACCATCATGCCTTGTTACCACTGTGCAGGCTGGTGGTGGTGGTGTAATGGTGTGGGGGATGTTTTCCTGGCACACTTTAGGCCCCTTAGTGCCAATTGGGCATCGTTTAAATGCCACGGCCTACCTGAGCATTGTTTCTGACCATGTCCATCCCTTTATGGCCACCATGTACCCATCCTCTGATGGCTACTTCCACCATGTCACAAAGCTCTAATCATTTCAAATTGGTTTCTTGAACATGAAAATGAGTTCACTGTACTAAAATGGCCTCCACAGTCACCAGATCTCAACCCAATAGAGCATCTTTGGGATGTGGTGGAACGGGAGATTCGCATCATAAGCCGCGTTTCCACCGCAATTACCAGGAACTATTTGTCCCAGGAACTTTTTTCATAGGAACTTTTTTTTGCCCCAGAACGGTTGCTCACTGCGTTTACACCGTGGACTAAAGTACCGGGAAGATTAGTCTGGTGACGTTGAACTGCTTGCGACTGCTCCTCCCAGTCTGCGCGTACTTGTTTTGAGTTTTAAGTATTGAGGAGATTCAAGCTGTGCTGTTTTTGTGTGCTAGAGTTGTGACGTTCGCGAACGAACCGATTCTTTTGAACGGCTCATAAACATGAACGATGGGAGCCGAGTTGCGGCTGGAGGGGAGCCGTTCTTTCTGTCGTTCTTTTTTCATGCGTGTTTCACACAGATGCACACAAATTAGCTCCTCAGTTATAGGGGAAGGGGCGCACCCAGCGCAGGGGTGCTACTGCCTAACAGCATGATGATAGTTGTGCACGCGCGCGCATCCTTTACGTGAGTACTCCAGTGGGAAAAAACCCTACGTGCTGTCATTGGGTAGGAGCAGAGCCAATGACTTATGCCGTCACATGGTTACTCCAGTTAAAAAATAAAAAAAAAACCCCACTAAAGTAACACTAAGTTCCTTTGTAAATAAATACAAAGGAACTGCTTTGTATTTATTTACATTGCATTTTGTGTTCATGTTATTGTATCT